TACCCCAAAATTTGCCCTCTCATTTATCAAGACTTTTCTCACAAGGTTTCTTTGACTCAAGACTAGATTAGGGTTTGGTCAGCTCAAGGTATATCATCTTGCACTGATGACCCAAAATTAGGGTTTGAGGTTGCACAAGGATTTTTGGACTATAAATGCTTCATGTGACTTTCAAACATCATTATGGATCCCTAAGATCACTCGGGACAAAGTCAACCATGGCCAATTCACAGTCAAATTTCATAATTTTTATCCACATCAACATTTTAAGCTTATATGTATTATTTGGTCAAGTTTGGATCACAATTCCTCAAGAAATTTGATCAAATCACCAAAAGGGCAAAATGGTCAAAATTAGGGTTTTGACTTAGGAAGGACAATTTCTGATTTTCTGACTTAGCAATTGATCAATTTAGTTGAAGCATGATTTCAAGGATTCAATTACATCATTTTGACCTAATTATATGGCTCAAAACATTTCAATTTCATTGGATTGACAGATGAAATTTGCAGTCAACTGATCAAAAGTCAACTGTACACTAAAAAGTCAAACTTTGACTTTTTGGTCAAAATCAAGTGCCAAGGGTCATAATTCATCAAAACATGTCCAAATGTGAAACTTGTTCATCAATAAATCCACTTTTGAAGATTAGGGTTTGAATTTGAAATTTTTCTTAACTTAGAAAATTTTCTAAGTATAGAAAATTTCTTATTTTTTCTCAACTTTAGGCCATTTTTTCACCATGATGCATAATGATTCAAGGAAAGTTCCCAACATGAAAGTTGTATACCTCCATGAAATCTACAACTTTTCTTCACACACTTTTCCCTAAAGATGCTTGGATATCAAGACATAAATTTATGAATACATGCTCTCGAACTAAATAACTTAGTGAAATTTTGCCCTAATTTAGGCAGGTTTTGGACCCAACTTCATGGCAATGTTTCACCTAGTTCCAAGAGGTATCTCAAAATTCATTTCAAATATGAGTTATAGAGAACATTTTAAGCTTTCCAAAATGTCCAAGAACTACTCAAGATCATTTTTGAGTAGGGAGAATCGAAGAGATGAAGTTGGCAATTTCTCACTTTTTGTCCAAGTCATTTCATGAAGAACAAAGTTGCGACCAATACCTATGCTGCCTAATCCATGCTTTATAGGTCCAAAACTTGTTCCTCACTCCTTAATTTAATGCTTACTCAGTTGAAAAATCTTTGATCCATGCCCTAGAGCCATTACCCAAGTTGCAATTCCATAAATGGCATAAAGTGACCATTGCCATTTTGGAAAAGCACAACTTTTGCCACTTTCCAATTCTTGAGCATTGCACCTGTCTCCATTGTACATACAAGTCTCAAAGGTCTAAAGCAAATTGTATAAGCTGATGCCAACCCTAAGAGAGCAAGTACAAGCATGGCAAGAATTGTCCCTTCACTTTACTTCAAATGCAAGAAAAGTGGAAAAAAGGCTAGAACTGGCACAACTGTTAGAGGGTTGACATGAAACCAATTCCATACTAATATACAAACATAATACAACTTAGCACACGATTAGAGAAGGCCTGAAACACTCGCAAGCAGAAAAACACCAGAAAACTGTCCAAACTTGTAGTTTTGGCATAAGGATACCAATCTCATATTTGGCTCGTGCGTTTCCATTCTTGATCATCAAAACATCTTACCTACTTGATATCAAACCAATCCAGACCTTCATCCCTGTTCTGTAACCACTATTCCATCATCTACCATTGTTGCTTTCAAAGCTTGCAGTTTGACTTGGCCAAGGAGTTTCAGGCACTTTCAGAGTAAGGCAAATGTTGGAATACATTCAGGGAAGTTCAAGGAAGCTCAAGCAAGCATCAGGCCTCCATCAAACTCACTCCAGTTCCATCTATGATTCCAACTGAAGGAGGTAAAATCTCAACTTCTATCTCCTTATACAGGCAACCATTGGCCACGATTTGTAAATAAAAATGTAGCCCTCATTGCAATGAAACTGTACATATCTTTATCTTGCATTTATTTTACTTGAGTTAAGAGAATTTAGAACTTGAAGTTTCCGAAAATATTAGGTTTAAATTTAGGGCTGTTAAAATTCTTTCTGACCCTTGATTGTTAGTTCACATAACTTATATGGTTGGAATCGTGAGTTCAAATACTACAACTTTCATGTTATGAGTTTTCATTTTCATGGAAGTATGGGAGAGTTACAGGATGTCTGGCCAAGCTTGAGGAAGAAGATGAAGTACATGGCAAGGACTTGTTTTGTGTTATATTATTTTTGCTTTCCTTAAGACAATGGATGTATAGCCACCCCAGTGGCAAAGTAGCGCGCTGGTGAGACCCATGTCCTGGGTTCGAACCTAGGCGTTACTTTTATTTTTTTCACATTTTTCCTTCTCTTCATTTTTCTGATTTTTGCAGGTTTGGGCTTAGTTCTTTGGGCTTGGCATTTTTTACTAACATTGCTGCCAGTTTTTCTATATCACCCCCTGCCAACTTTTTATATTTTTTATTTTATTTGTTTTATTTTCATTTTTAATATATTAAATATTTTCTTTGATGCATAAAAATCCTAAAAAATATAAATTTCATAATATTGCATTTTATTTTATTTTAGTTTATTTTTCACATACAAATATATTTTATTATTAATATATATATCATGTATTTTCTTAATAACTTGTAAAATATAATCAAAGTATATTTAGTTTAATTTACTTATTTATTTCTCATTTCATACTTATAAATATTTATTTTTTCATATATAAAAACTTTATCTTTTTATACAATATTATTTATTATTTTTAATACAAAAAATACATTAAAAAAATAATATATAAGAACTTTATTTTAAAAAAAATAATAATTAGGGTTAAGTCTTCCTTTTAAAAACTAATTTCTTTTCCTTACATTTTTAGGTTTAGATTAAAATCTCTTTTACATAAAAACAAAACAAAAAATCTTTTCTTATATATACATTGTATTGCATCTTTACATATTGTATATTATTAATTCTAATTCGTACAAATTCGATTTGGTTGTAATAATTTATTTAGGTTTACATTTTTGCAAATCCCCATTCAAATTTGCATTTCCCTCTCCATAAAATTGTTGTAATAGCTTAGTAATATTTACATTATGCAATTTACCGCTTTACATACCATGATTAGTAATTAGGATTTGTATGATAAGATCGAAACAAAGCAAAAATAGAAAATCCTAAATATAAGACAAAACCAAAGCATGAAAATGATACACTTGCACACAAGCATCCTTAGGATTTCTCCACTTGGTTTCCTAAAATCAAAATGACCATATTACGCATGCGAAGTATCTTGACAAAACAAACAAATGTAAAGATCATAGTCCCTCGATGACGCTATTCAAAAGTTGCCTTACAAAATGATCTTGGTCCCTCAAAATGCTAAGATACTTTGCAAACATTGCTAATTATGGCTATACGATGAACCACATCCGTCCTTTACATCTAAAGATAGGGTTGCTTACCAAATCAATGGTAAGACAACAATGTCAAAGGAATAGAAAATGCATAAGAAAGACATTTGAGTAGGTAGATTGCTTGTAGTTACTTGCTCTAATTTCAAAACAACTATCCTTGCTATTTTCCAAAACAAACACACACTTCAAAAAACATCTTACAAATATTGAAAACATTTTCAAAAGACAAACGTCTTTGTATACATTCTTACAAACGAGAATCATTACAAAGATTGCCTAAACGAATGACCTCTTTTACAAAATACTTTCAAAACCACACCAAACACATTTTCAAACAAACAAAAGCAAGTGATCTAGCAAGTAACTAAGAGCCCATGGAAAATCATGGATGAAAAGGGTGCTAATACCTTTCTTTTTCATAATCTACCCCCCGAACGCAATAAAACATCTCAAAGGTCTTTCATGTGCTTTTTCACCTTTCCTTTTGGATAAAAGAAAAGTCGGTGGCGACTCTTACTAACGGTAACATTTGCGATAAAACGCAAACCCTCAAGTCAGTTCTCCCACCGTATCACAGCTTCCAACTCAGAAATTAAGATTTGTTTGTCAGATAAGTTGTTGCTCCAAGTCTAAAGACAAGGTTATAATTCTGAAGAATCTGCTACTTTTGGGAACATTACAATGAAATGTTTTCTGGATCATTTATCATTTCTTATTAGAAATACTCTATCAGAAGATTAAGAAAAAAAGTGATCTCTTATACACCCTATTCACTACTTCAGATCAGAAGTATCTCATCTGAAGAAAAAAATATTATAAACTTACACAAGAAGAATATAGTACAACAATACTATACCTATTTCACGTTGTACGACCAAAGAAATTTGTCTCCCGCAATTTGATGCTACCGTTGTAGCAGTTGGCAAATGAAAGTGACATTTTGTACTATCCAATAGCCTACTTTCTCCACCTTAAGTTTTGAAAGTGTTTGTCAATTGAACCGCACTAAAGTCTATGAATAGAAGAAGAGCAAGGTTAGGAATACACTGCTTCATTCTTTTCCATTACTTAAGGCTCAATGATGCACGATTCACTTCTTAATTATTAAGTGTTTTTGAGTTTGATTAAGAAAAGATTTTAGTTTTAAATGAAAAGAAAATGATGCAATGCAAAAGGAAAAGCAAAGGGAAGCTTGAATCCTAATGTTATCATGCTTCCATGGACTTAATGTTGAATTTTTGAGGGGAAAATATAACCTAAATTCTATCATTCCAAAGATTAATCCTAAAATCTAACTCAATACAAAAGGATCAAAAGAAAATTACTCGCTCAATGGAATTCCTAAGGGAGCATGTGAAGAATCAACTAAGCAACCAATCAAAAAGAAAAGAATTCTATTATTTTTATCATTTTTCATGTAAGGCAATTAATGAAAAATTACAAAACAAGTAATGAAAAAAACAAAATTAAAACAAAAAATAAAAGAAGAAAAGAAAATGGAAGAGCCAGAGGGTGCCAAGCTGTAGTTGGTGGTGTAGATGACTAAAGGCGCAGAGCCCAACAATGAAGCCAATCCAATCATCTTTTTATCCAAGGCATTGGTGGGCAAAAAATCATCTCGGCTCAGTAAGGATGTTTTACGAACATCAAGGCCCAGCAAATCTATCATCCACCACCAAACAATTTCCATTCCAGCGAATCTATCATCCTTCCACCGCCGATGTTCCATCTCTTCGTCTGACGTGCACATATTCCGTCCTCTTCTCCACAGCGCCTCAGTCTCACTCAATCTTATGTCGTCTTCATCTCTATCATCTTCATCGCACTTTCTCCATTCTTCCACCGTGAATAATCGTTCGCTATCATAGTCTTAATCAACTTCATCGTGCTTTCATCGTTTTGCCACCGTGAACAATCTTTCACTCTCATTGTCTCTAGTACCAATTTGTATCTCTTCATCGAATGTCTTCATCCATCTCGCTTTCATTCTCAACTTCACACCTCTGATTCTGTTTCGAGTTAATTTCCGATATCTCTCCTTAATTTTCTAAACTTAGATTAAAGCATTAAAAGAACAGAAATCGCAGAAGGAGCGAGATACTTACTGACTAGAGTAACATCGGTAGTTCCTCACATCGATGAAGATGATAAGAAATCCATAGAAATCTAGGTATCTTCTCTTTCACTTCATATTTTAATTCACTTTTTCTCCATCTCTTCTTCTTTGATTTCTTCTATTTCTTTGTTACGTGCTGCTTGTATGAATTGTTGTTGTTGTGTTTCCGTGTGTTCTTCGGTATTGTTGTTGAAGATGCAGTGAAGAGAGGATGCAGAGCATTGTGGATTATTGAAGTTGTTGCATGTTGATGTTGTTGGTGCAGAGAAACAGAGCGTGAGTTTGTTGATGTGAAGCTGAGAAGAAGATGATGAAGGTGTGGTTTCAGAGAGTTTGAAGGTTTTGGCTGATGATGACGAGTGATGAAGGTTGAAGAGAGAGTGCAGAGGAAATTGGTTATTATTGAGAGAGAGAGAGAGATAAGATGAAGTTTTGAGAATTTTTGGTGAATGATTGTAGTGAATGAGGATTGAAGCGGAAGCTCTGTTTATATAGTCGGTTAGAGTTTGTTACAGAGAAGTTAATCTCAGCCCTTGGATATGAGAGTTTGTTATAAGATGGAAGGATGATATCGATTCAGATTAGAGGTTTATTATGAATCTTGTTAGAGAAGCTTGGTTTAATTTTGAGTTTCTCATTTGATTTTCTGATATAATAGCCTTTTTTATCTTGTTTTCTTTTCTACTTTGCAATTTTCTGATTTCACATTTTCCTCTGATTTTCTTTCTTGAACTGGACAAGGTCTATTGGTTAGTGCAGGAACTGGTTTTATTACGTATTTTGAATAGCATGGAAGTTTTGGTTCAAGTTTTTGTATTGTTTTTTATGGTGAAAGGGACCATTTATCATGATGCTTGGAGTAAGCATGTTTGGTCTTCTTGAGCATAAAGGACATTAGCAAGGGCATTGGTTTAGAATTTAGGAATTTAGGATAGGTTCAAAACTTAAGAATTTCATGTAACTTGAATGTATCTTGAGATTATGGCCTTGTAAATATGAAAAGAACATGAAATGTCATTGTCACGGTGAAAAATAGGAGACCAAGCTATTGAGAAACTTGACTCGCATTTTAAGAAGTTACCACCAAACTTTATTTTTTTCAAGGAAAAGGGAAAAAGATCGAACAAAACCCACAATAAACATGCAAAGAAACAAGCAAGACTGAAATTTAAAAAAAATCAATTCAATAAAGAGATATCTAAGATACAAGGGTTACTTATACAAATGGAATGTATTAATACCCTATGTGTCTATAGTACTCTATAGGAAACTCTTGTCATATTTGCTTTTGGTTTAAATTTGGTTTGTTTGCAAAAGAGTGTGGAGATGAGAAAAAAAAATATTTTATTATATTTCTATTTGGAAAGACATAAAGTCTTATACATATGTACCAATGACGAATCAAAACCTCGTAGCTCGTGGTAAAAATATCAGAATAGTTTGTTGTGGTAGCTTTTAGGAGAAGAGACAAGTTGTCATCTTAAGGAGAATACTCAACTAATCAACCCACAAGTATGAGAATATGGATCTTTGTATCATCATAAAGGGAAGAACTCCAACTTGGATATAAAATCAACTAGTATGCCAACAACTCCCTTAAGTGGAAAAGAATCAACAACATTCAATCATTACTATGGAGATAGAAAAATTACATATTAACTATAAATATGGCTCATGTCTAATCTCTTTGAGAAAAGATTTTAAATTGAAAATCCAATTGGAAAAAGGATTTTGGGTGAGGTTGAATCTCTTTTAGTCTTTTGAAATTGTTAAATATGATTAAGTATATTGAACCATTTATTAAAGAAATAAAGTTTGAAAATGCAATGACATAAAGCCAAGGTTTTTATATGAAATAATTTTAAAAGTTTTAAAATAAGATTAGGGTTTAAAGATAAACAAGATGAATGAAACATACAAGTATACATGAGACACACAATGACATAAAGTCAACAAAGCAATCATTTACCTTGGATTAGACACAAGTATAAAAAAGATAACAACCAAAGATTAAACATCACTTATAAACAAGTCACAACTTTGGCATAAAGGAAAAGGCTCAATTACAAGACAAACACATATCAAGTGAAAATCAAACAAAGAAGGCAACATATCATGGTGTAACCTTGAGATCAAAGCCCAAGTGTGAGAGGTGTCTGTTAGAACAAAGTTTGAATCTACTACCCTATGTTTAAGTTTTGATGATAACAAAATGAAAGGATATATTAATTATGTGATTCATATAAGAACTATTTGCTACCTAAAATATTACGTTCTGTTTTACAGAAACTCTGATAGGTATCAGCAAGAGCACACCTAATCAACATCAGAATATTGGTCATCAACGTAAGCATCAGAAGATGCTATATCAGAATACCAGATTCAGAAGAATAATTCACGCGTATGCTGAAGCTTGATGAACAGAACTGCGCTCAACACTCTGATAAAGACAACAACAGTTCATCTGCACTTAAGCAGAGTCAGAATGAAGCCAAGCCAGAACACGCTTTAAGTAGCAACGGTACTGTGCATTGAAAGCGTATTATTACCAACGGCATCATTCCAGACAAGATCTGCTCAATAAGGAAAGTTTGTTATTAGCATTGAATCAAGTTTATTGCTCCAACGTTCAACAATCTCAGTGCTATATAAACAAGACTATGAAGATTGAATTGGCTAATGCTCTACATCACATTACACGCATAAAAGCTAATCATCATCTTCCTTCTTTCAGTTTGCTAAACGCTTCACATTTCCTTACTCAGTATTTTAGCAATCTAGTTTCATAAGCTTAAGTTGTGTAACATCACAGTTGTGATACAGTTTTGTAGAAAACATTCACACACCCTATTTCTCTTATTTGTAAGAAAGTATTTCCTTGACAAACCGGGTTGTGGTTTGCATCAAGAAGGCTTTAGCAATTGTTAAAGCAGTTTGTAATATTCAGTTGAATATAGTGGATAAGACCTTGTTGGAGAGAGGCGAAATCACCTTGACGGATGGACTGGAGTAGTTTGAGATCAAACGAACCAGGATAAAAATATCTTGTTCATTGCATTGATTTTCAGTTTTACAATTCAACCCCCCTTCTTGTGTTTTTCACTTCTTCAATTGGCATCAGAGCGCCTGGTTCTAAGCTAAAACACTTAACCGTGTCAGTACAAGATCCAGCGTCAGAAAAACACAATGGCAGGAAATTATTCTCACACCAGCAATGACAACCATGAGGACAGAGACAGATTCAGCGGCAAACCTCCAGTCTTTGATGGAGAAAACTTTGATTACTGGAAAGACAGAATTGAAAGCTTTTTTCTGGCACATGATGCTGATCTGTGGGATATGGTGACAGATGGATACACGCACCCTGTGAATGCAAGCGGTCAGAAGATTGATAGAAAAACAATGACTGACCAACAAAAGCGTGACTTTAAGAATCACCACAAGGCCATAACCATCCTTCTCAGCGCCATCTCGTATGCTGAATATGAAAAGATCTCCAACAGAGACACATCAAAGAACATGTTTGACTCACTCAGAATGACGCATGAGGGCAACGTTCAGGTCAAAGAAACTAAAGCTCTGGCGCTCATTCAGAAGTATGAGGCGTTCAAAATGGAAGAAAGTGAATCCATTGAAACAATGTTCTCAAGATTCCAGATTCTGGTAGATGGTCTCAAGGTTCTGGACAAAGGTTACTCTACTGCTGATCACGTCAAGAAAATTATCAGAAGTTTACCCAAGCAGTGGATGCCAATGGTTACAGCTCTAAAGCTAGCAAAAGATCTCAACAAAATTTCTCTGGAGGAACTTATCAGCTCCCTCAGAAGCCATGAGATAGAGCTAGAAGCCGATGAACCCCAGAAGCAAGGTAAGCCTTTAGCATTAAAATCTAACAAAAAATCTAAGTCTAAAGTTTTGCAGGCAGTTGAAGAAACATCTGATGGATCCTCATCAGAAGAAGACGAACTCTCCCTCCTCTCCAGAAGAGTGAATCAACTGTGGAAGCAGAGGCAAAGGAAGTTCAGGAATCCCAGAAGATCTGATCAGAACAAGTCTTCTTCCAGACACAGAAGGACAGATTCTTCCTCTGGATACAGAAGATCTGAAGGCTCCTCAGGAAGCAGAAAGCCAAACACCAAGGACATCGTCTGCTATGAGTGCAATGAGCAAGGACACTACAAGAGTGACTGCCCAAAGCTTCAGAGGGAAAAGCCCAAAAAGAAGTTTGGAAGAGAAAAGAAGAAAAGTCTCATGGCTACATGGGATGACTCTGACTCGTCTAAAGCTGACTCAGAATCAGATGATGAGAGAGCAAACATAGCTCTCATGGCTAACATTTCAGAAGATAGTGAAGCTTCTGAATCAGACTCAGAATCAGATACTGAAGAGGTATTTCCTAACTTTGCTGTTAATTTTACCAAGGCTGAACTTGCTGAAAGCCTTAATGAGATTCTGGAAAGGTATCAGCAGATTAGAGTTAAATTCAGAGACCTGAAAAGGAATCTTGAATCTGACTCTAATAAGTCTGAGAGTCTCAAACTGGAGAATTCTGAGCTGAGAATTAAAATTTCAAAATTAGAAAATACTTTACAAAACTCTCAGAAGGAACCAATTTCTGAAACTCCCAGCAACGCTGATGAGATCATCAAGGAGTATGATCACAGTTTCCAGAAGTTCCTTGCTAAAAGCATAGATAGAAGCAAAATGGCTTCAATGATCTATGGAGTTAGCAGAAACGGCAGGAAAGGAATA